CTCAGTTCAGGAAGGATATTGAGGTGCTGGAGGAGGTCCAGAGAAGAGCAATGAGGCTGGTGAAGGGACTCGAGCACAAGTGCTATGAGGAGAGGCTGAGGGAGCTGGGACTGTTTAGCCTGGGGAAGAGGAGGCTCAGGGGAGACCTTATCACCCTCTACAACTCCCTGAAAGGAGGTTGGAGTCAGGTGGGGGTTGGTCTCTTCTCCCAGGCAACCAGCAGTAGGACAAGAGGGCACAGACTCAAGCTCTGCCAGGGGAAGTTTAGGTTGGATATTAGGAAGAGATTTTTTACAGAGAGAGTAATCAGGCATTGGAATGTGCTGCCCAGGGTAGTGGTGAATTCACCATCCCTGGAGGTTTTCACGATGAGACTGGATGTGGCACTTAGTGCCATGGTCTAGTAACCATGGTAGGGTTGGACTCGATGATCCTTGAGGTCTCTTCCAACCTGGCTGATTCTATGATTACATGGTTTTGTAGGTACTTGGCCACTAGCTGGGCAAAATCCACCACACTGGGTAAAACAGAAAATAGCTGCATTTAAGTGTTCAATTAATATTAAAATGCTAAAAATGCTAATGAATTTTAAAATTAGCATTTTAAATTAGCAATTTTAACTTTAACTTAGAGAAAATCCAAGCAAACTAGGAAACTCGCTGTTTACAGTAGGGAGTTGGGAGGAAATGCCTTCTGACTCATAATAGCTCACATGTATTTCCAGAGTTCCGACCTGCCCTATTCACCCCAACAAAAAGAGTACTGGAAAAAGTGGCATTCAGTTTTAAGAGAACATCTTTAGATGGCTAATGAAACTACTCCAGTTCTTGCTTGCTATATAAAAAAACAGTGCATGTAGACGTGAAGCATCAAAGCTAATTAACCTCAGAGCCAGAATTAGAACCAAATTTATCTTGTGACTTGTCCACAGAGCCTAGCAACCCATTTTAATAGAAATTAAAAGTTAATATGAGCTCTACTTCACTACTGAATAACAGCTAAAACACTTTTTATCTCTAGGTGCAAAAATATGAAAGACATGACATTAAGAGGAAGAAAAGCTAACTCTAAACCAGAAGTATTCTTACTACATAATGAATGGCACTACATTATTTCACATAACTACAACAGTCAACAGACAAAGCAATTCTGCAGACTTGTCGACTACATGGTGACAAACAGTGCACATCAATTTCCTATTTGCAGACACAGTTGTGCAAGTCTTGTCTTAACAAGTCTTAAAAAAGTTTCAATTTCAAACTCATACAAGCCTATAAGCCTTTCCTTCTGTTTTATTTGACATGATGCCTAAGGTTAGCTAAAGCCATCACTTAACAAACATGCCTAACAATTATTACCTGCAAAAGGCACTGGCAGCAGCTGCACAATCCAGAAATTTAGCCAGATCTGGACAATGACAATGGCCCATACAAGTGTAACAAAGTAAATATCACTAGTTTTCTTTTTTCTAAGCAAAGATCCAATCTCAGGTCTTTGTCTGTTCCCAGAAGATGGAGAGGAGGCGAAAGATGATGCAGCACGTGCAGGTTGATCACCTTCTGTTGCTCCTAAAACAGATGCAAACAAAGAAGCAGAAATCATCATGTCGATGCTCACCACAGAATAGAGCAAGCTCCCTATTCCCAAACTAACCTTTTTATTTTTAAAGGGGGGAAGGAGGGCTGTGGTTTTGTTGTTCGTTTTGAAGTAGAGTTTTTTGGTAATTTTTCTAAAAGACAGAGACAGCCTTGGCACTGATCTGCATTTTGAAAAGCTAGAACAGGGATGTGTAAGCTCTCCCACATCATGCAACACTATGCCAAGCAGTGCTGGGAGGAGGAGAGAAGAAAACTTGCTACAGCCTCTAACAGACCTCCTGTTGCTACAGGTAAATTACAAGCCAAATCTATTTCATCAAAGAACCATAAAACCATGAACAACACAAAGTATAATTCACTTCTAACAGAAATCTGAAGTCTTAAAATAAACCTTTAATTTCCTATTACTTCAAGAACTCGAAAAGGAATCTTAGATTTGCTCAAAGCTCATTTAAGCAAAAAACAAACCTATAGAGCATTTACTGAAGAGAAAGGTTGTATCTTACACATTTCTTATTGTACTACTACTTTTCCTGAACACTCACAATATAAACATAGCACTCACACTGTGATCCTAAACTACTTGCTTGTGCAACACACATTAGTAACAGCAAGCACAAATTAGTGGATAGCAAAAGTCATTCTCTCACTCAGAAGTTTGCAAACATTCAAGTCAATTAAAAAATGTGAACTGATGTGCTAAAGAGCTTTATAAATAAACAGTAAATAAGTCATTTCATGCAAAAAAATTATGTTCAAATTAAAATTCTTGTATAGAGAACATGGCAATCAATTTATTTATTTATTTAACTTTTTGGCAAATCTCCCTAGTGTGGGTGACACCGAATCCATCTTCAGCTGCTCTATGTAGAATCTCTCCTGGAGGACACCAGTATCAACTTTTACTGAAGCTCTGTATTGGTGGCAAAAAGCACCCATTTCCCACACCAGTACTTGAGAAATATTTGCAGCCATGGTGAAGGAACACACACACAGGAAAACCTGATAAGTTACTCTATGTTGAAGAACAAAAGGCAATTCATTATGTTGGTACATACCACAGCTGGTAAGCAATGAACACAACTCTTTCACTGGACTTGCGTCACATCAGCACATCTTCCCCATGAAGAAAAACTGCCACAAAACCTGTACTATAACATACTACAGCAGTCAAACAAGTCGTGTTCCATACGTGCATTGCAAGCTGCAATGTGTCACTAAAGGCATTTCTAGCCTAAAGCATGACAGCTGGAATGTTCAAAAAGACAAGACCAATTTGTCACGCATGTACAGTAGTGCTAAGTGACAAACTGCAGCCTCACACACTGGATGGACACTATTCTTTGGCTGCAGAAATCTGCACTAGTTGCACAAGAAACTATTTTTGAGCTTATAAGCAGATCTCCCACCACACTAATATAATAATGCAGATCTACTGATTAACCCAACTGATAGACAGTGGGATGATGACAGAAACATCATCTGGTTGCTAGTTATGTATTTGGTAGAACTTCAGACCAGTCACAAAGGAATTACAGCATGCAATCTGCAAGAAGAAACTCTGCAAGCAGCTAAACACAGCAGAAGCTTCAGGTGGAGTGGTTCTTGGCACATCAGTGCATGTCTCAGAGGGATGTTGGCCAGCCCTACCAGGCAAATACACTTTGGAGAAAAAGACACAAGTTAATCTTTCATAGGGAGAGAGAAAGTTACATGTAAACAGAAATTTTCCAGAAAAGATGAAGTGTTTGTCATATGGAAGAAGGTCTACTTCTCTACTTTTAATGAAGCAGAAGAGTACTAACAGAAACAAACATATGCACTAAAGGAAAACAAAACTGAAAGCAATATAGCTGTAACTGAGAATTTGCCCTTATCAATTCAGCATTTTTGACTCTCTTGCTCCAATATACCCAACATATGAAGTAGCATTCCAACAAGCAGAAACTCAAATATTTATCAAAGAGAAGTGCTAAAAGCCAAAACAGAATAAAAAGCTCAAGTCTATGCCCAAGATTAAAATTATCTGACATCTTTTGCCCAAAAAGCCCTCAGTACAGTCACTTTATAAACAAAGCCCTTAGCACCGTCACCTGTAAAGTGACTTCTTTTGGTAATGAAAAATTTGATCGGCAGTGAAGAAAACCTAAATTAAACAACAGCAACATCAAACAACCTAAGCCTCTTACAGTTCCGCTATTAAGCAGGCTGGACACAGAATGGTAAATAAATGGGGAAGAGTTGAGGGGGGGAAAAGAAATAAATTAAAAAACCCAAAGACTTCCACCCAGAAAACCCAACAAACTTTGCAAGTGAGAAAAGTCACAGTCTGTTGGCAAGATATGCTTTGCAAATCAAGGCACAAGTGCCTTGTCAACACAAATGGGAACAAAATGAACAATCAGTATGGTGATTTAGAGTAACTTCAGGTTCTGTAAAATCCCATTTACTGTGCTTCATGATATTTTGAGAAATGACACCTGAAAAACACCTTTATCTTCTAAATACTGAAGGTATGGCAACCTAAACAGCTAACACAATACCCAGTAAATAATTCTAGCAAAATCAGAATGTATGGTACTTCTTTCTATATAAAAACAACAAAACCCCCATTTTTTTCCAGGCTGTCTTATTAAGACACATGCTTTTCTTTGCACAGTATGTTCTCTGTCATATCAGCTTCTTGCTGTCATAGCATTTTGAATTATTCTCCTCCCCAAGGAGAAGAAAAAGAAACAGCAGCACTAACAGAAAGGCAAGTGTCTGTATGTCTATGCAGGGCATCCGAATAAAATCCTCAGAGTTAGAAAAACAGTGATATTATAATTAATGAAGAACGCTTTCAGAACATCTGATGAAGCTCCTTAAGCCTGCAAGTAAAATCTTTTGCTGTACAAGCATAATGACTCATCACCACTCACAAAAGATCCAAAGCAAAGATGGCTAAAAGGATTCTTAACAAATCAGAGAATAGAATGCTATTTTCCAACAGACTGTTGAAAAATTATTTGAACTATTGTCAGGAATAAATAGGAAACTCCATATTTGTTCCTTTCCTGCTGTGAAGGAAAACAAAACCAGAATTTGCAAGGCAAAAAAACCCCATCTGGTTAACAGTCTCAAGAAGACACGTCAAAAATATTCACTATAAAAGACACCTTTATAAAACGGCTGCAGTTTTCTTTTGGCCCAGAGAGGTTATAACTTGAAAACAGAAAGAAAACTCTCTTAAAGAAATGAAAAAATAAAACTGGTAAGTTAAACAAGCTACAAAAGAACACAACCACTAACACTGCACATTGACGGGAGCCTGTTGCTTGACCAGATGTTCAAAACTCAGCTCAAAACAAACAAACAAAAACAAAAACAAACAAACAAACAAATCTCATTTCTAAAAATTAAAGATCAGACACAGAAATACAAGAACTGTCACCATAATGCTCTGATCTCAAATTTCAGGACATACTTCCATAGGGTTCTACACTTGTTTTGATGACAGCCATTGAAAATACAGAAAGATAACAAAAGGATAAGTTGTCTAACGCTGTCATTTTCAGATTGAAAAATGAAGTTTTGGAAACTCACATTCTGTCAAGCTAAATGACCTGTTTGGTCTACTTGCATGAAACGTTTTGATTTTCAGATATCTCATTCCTACCCAAAAAAAAGCAAGGTTCGAAGGCAGTGGTGAACATCTAAACACCCTCTTTGCACCTCTTTCAAGCCATTTTTTATAGATTTCTAGTTGTGTTATTGCAGGTGAAAGTATCACGTGACTGAAGCTACAATGTCAAACTCACTACAGGAAAGACTTTGAGCATGCCATAGTTAAAGTGGTTTTTTTCTCACTGTGATGTACACAAAAATTATTCCAGTCTGTCTGTACCTTGTCCAGAAATCCAGTTATAGCATGCAGCTGCCAACAAATCAAAGGCTAGGAAAATAAAAAAATTAATAATAAGGAACAGGAAAAATCTACACCTTCACTCTAAAACAACTCCATAATAAATCCTTCTGGTCAGGCCTTCAAAACACAGCCACATAAACTATCCTTTGCAAGATTATCATATTCTTAACATCTTTAAAAACACATAAACCTGATTCACAAGCTAAGTATAAACATGCTGTTCTGGACAGAATGAAGAGGATAGGGACTATCCTGAAATTTGTTGTTAATTCCCTCCAATTTCATGCCTTTAGAGCAAATTCAAATGTTTCTTACAGAGTATTCAGTCACCTGAGGGTTGGGAGGAATGTTCATTACTGGACTCATCTTCTGTCATTGAAATGGCCATGGCAATTGTTGAAGCAGCAATAGAAATCATCTGACCAGGAAGCTCTGCCCCTGTAAAATATCTATGTGTATGTAAATAAAGAAAAGCTTATGTCTTAAAACATTTGATTTGCTGTTTGATATTGACTAAAGCTGTCAAGCAACAGAAAATATATGCACAGATGCTGTTAGTTTAAAATTTGTATTACAAGTGGTCAATATGACCAAACAGGAATGAGTGCTATTAATTTTAGTATTATAGTACACCTGGACCCAAACCTCAAAACCAGCCATTTGCATTAGCCACTTGCCATGTGCTAAGCCATTTGCTTAGCACTTCTCTTGCTAACGAACTGCTACCAATTAAGTCATTCACGGTTGCTTCAAGTCTGATGACTCAAAACATTTTTATACCAGTTAATCAGTTCTACTAACCAATTGGAACAGCAAGACAGGAAAAAAGTATCCTTCATCAGGAACACCTGACGATTTTTTTTGACTCACAACAGGTAAAACCTATTCTCAAAGTCTAAATACAAACCTTAGTTTTAGGAAACTGGAATTTTAAAAAACCAAACTGGATATAAGATACTTGCTGGATGGAGTTGTCTCAGTTTCTTTCATACTAGTATTATAGGAGCTACTAAACCCATATTAGTCAATTCACTTCCAATTAGCCTTTGATTTCAAATATCCTGGGCTACCTCTATGCTTGAAACTATATACAGGAATCCGTAAACTTGGAATTGGGCTTGATAATGTGTTGCTACTTCACCATGGAAAAGAAACATTGGTACATTGCAACCATTTTCTGCAAAGAACCAAATATTCACTTCAGCATGAGTAAACCACTTTGGAACAAACATACTAAAAATCTTACAGTAAATTTGTGCAAGCCATATGCTATTGAATTTACAGGGATATGGTCCAGATTCCTTCCCAAGGCTGTACAGAACTTTTGCCTCCAATAATAAAAGAAACAGTGGCTTGTCCTTACCAGAAGACTCCTTTCCATTCTGCTGTTCGTGCAACATGCCTACAGTCATCAGAACAACTATAACCAGAAATACAGGAATTCTCCAGGAACCTGCCACAGAAGCTGAAAGATACAATGTTGGGATTACTTTTTCTTTTTTAAGAAAAATATTAATAAATATATTAATAAAGTCTACATTTAGCAAAACCAGGAAAGGCATCACATCAACTAAGAACAATCTGGGCAGAAACCAAAGAGTGTCATAAAGCAAACAAGTTTTCCATATTCAGGAAATGGAAGACTAGAAAAACAGGTGAACAAGTTTCTCATGGAATAAACCAAGTTGTTACTGTTTCTAACTTCTCTGGCTTTAAACTATGCTGATATAGAGAACAATTTTAAAAACAACATGAAAAATCACATGCAAATACACATAAAAGGAAAACATTTTAGATATCAGAAACAAATCAAGTTCCCACCAAAAATCTGTATTTATGTTAGACCTTCACAATGTGGGATCAATCAGGGCCTTTCTGGATTTTGGCTATTCAGACTGTACTTCCAGCAAATAAAAGACTGTCAAAATGTAAGCAAATGCAAAGCCACTGTGTAGCTTAATGCCTCAGCAAAGTGCCCCACATGGTCAGAACACTGCTTGAAACCTGCTGCTAAAGCAAGTAAGTCATAAAGTACACAGTGAAATCTTCTATCATGATAGTCGTCTATAATTTACATGATACTTCCACCACAAGCTCTGATATGAGAACATAAGCTGATAATCCGTTCTATTAAATGTGTAATTTAAGTCTAAAAGATTACTTTAATCTTATATTTGTATTAAAAGATTATACAGGCTACTGGCAAATGTATTTTAGATTGCTGATACCATACTGACATGCTTGTTGACTATTGACAGAAATATTTTTTTTGCTTCTATTACAGCTATTAAACATAGCTTCAGTCCTGGTTAATGGCAGGCTCTCAATAAAATAATAATGTTGCCATCACAAGTGCAAGTGCAAAGCCACCCACATGTGACCTCAGCCCTTCCTCACTGTCAAGGAGTAAGTATGTGGTCTGTGAATCAACAAGTGAAAACCATGGGAAGTACAAACTAGGTAGAAGTTGAAGATACATTGCTTGGCATGTTCATGCCTTCCCATTCCCTACTCCAGTGCTCCCTACTGGAGACATACAGTCAGAATTACTGAGCAGAGAAAAAAACTCGCATCTCAGATAAGACTCCATTTGAAAGCTTTAGCAAAAGAACAAGATAGGAGCTTTGTTTGCAACAGAATCTCTATGAAGAGAATAACAACCTGCTGTTACTCACCTAAGTGAAAGAGCAGCATAATCCAGACAGGTACAGAGATTGCTTTTAAGTACCGCTCAGTGCTTATGTTCCACTTGAATGAAACCATCAGCAGGTAACCAACCACCAACGTCCAGATCTTTAAGAAAAAGACACACATAGGTATGTATGCATACATGAGTACAACAGAGCTCAATTCTGATGTATGTGTGCACACATGCACGCCCCCATAACTGCCATGGAGAGAGAATTAAAGTCAGCTTCTGATTTGTTAAGAAGCCCCACGTTTCAATTAATTACAGGAGTTTTTTCGCCATGTAAGAGAACTACAGAGTTTGTGCAAAGTGTAAGGGCAGCCTAGATATGCCTTCAGTCTGGTTCTAACATGAGGGGGAACATGATTTGCTGTGCACAAACCCTGAAGGAAGATGGTCTTGTGCCCAAGATCAAGCCATTACTCCAGAACTACTACTGAAAGATGAGAACCTAAATGGAACAGGGCCACCAGCAGCACCCGTGGGGCCACAGGGAGACAGAGCCAGCACAGCACCACTCGTTCCAGCACACAGCAGCTTGCCAGCTCCTGTGAGCCAGACCAAAGAGACAAAATGGGGTTTAAGCCAGAGAAGCCATTAGGAAGCGCAACAGAATCTGCTGTTCCTCAGTGGTGCTTGTCCACAAAACAGCCATGCCTTTAAGTGACTTGTGACATATAATTTCATCATGTATTTAACAAAAAAAATCTAGAGACATGGGAAACAGGCAGGAATGATCTATCAAGAAACAAGTGGCCGTTTAGGTTTTGCTTCTTCTAACTTCCTTCTACAACTCTGCTCATCAGAAAAATCACAATACAGAATTCTAATTAAGAATCTTGAGATGAACAATCTGAGCTTGAAAATGCTGAAAAGAAGGAAACAGAAACCAGGAGAGGCAACAGGAGGTGAGAGACTGCTACTCAGCAGAAATAAAAGGAGTACAAAAATCTGTAAAAATAAAAACACAGTGTTGCATTCTTAAAATAAATACAGACAGACATTTCTGGCTCAAATTCAACAAACATTCTGTATCCATAACCATTTAATGACACCTTCAAATTTACACTTATAAATGCATAAATCCCAATGAAACTTAAACAGAATTTCTATTAACAGCATTTGCTGAGTCAGACATGACTGTGATAAGTCAGAACAAACCAGCAGAGAAATGAAACAAGTAATTAGAACACACCAAAAGAGTTTTCACCTTTTTTCTCTGCACTATGTGACTCATGCTGAAGAGGCAACACCTGTGTAAAGCAGGTTCATGTGACTACTCCCATGTACCTAATTGGTGTAGAGGAAATCTTAATTTTACTGAATTAAGCAGACAAGCAGTGATGGTCCCAGATAGCTTCAGAGGGAAGGATCATAATGCAACAATTGAAAATCACTTAAGAAATATGAACAAATGTATACCCTCTTCATACCAGTCTTTCTTACTAAAGCAGATCACTCCAACTTTTCACTGTTACCTTCTCCTTTGCACCAACACAGCTGCATAATGCTTATGGCCAAGTGTGGGCTCAGGACAAATATCTAAAACTAACACAAACCATGGACAGTGAGACTGAAGTAATAAACAAATTTTCACCAGAAATGCACAGCAGCACTCCTTTAACAGCATAGGTTTGCAACATAAATTCACCCATTAGGCACATTACAGCACAACTGTAACTGCAATAGATAACTCATCATGAAGATGCCATTCTACTCCCTAACATCAGCCACACAGCATCTTTGTGAGATAAATGTTCCGGCATCAAGGTGATCTTTCTCTTTAGCTTTTACGTTTAATGATAAATTACAAACAGGAAACTCAGCACCTTCAGTACTTTAAACTTTCTGAGTAAAAACGTGCCAAAAGTAGGAGGCTAACAGGGCACAAGCACATGTTTAACATCCAACAAGGCATTCAATAATTTTTTGTGTTGTAATTACAATAACTCATCAGTTCAGATTTCTAAAAGCTTAGCAAATGACCCATGTAAAAGTATTTCTTATTTCTACTGAATGAAGAGAAATAGGTTACTTCAAAATAAACAAGTCACTTTGTTTCAGAGATCAAACAATAACGATCCTAAAGCCTTGTAAAAAAGTATGTAGTCAACTGACTGGTGCAAGATGTTTAATTTCAGTGGCACCATGGAATAATCAGCTTTTTACTGGTTAATGCACTTCCCTGTGCTGCAAGAACCACTGCACAGGAACTAGGGTAGCCTCCTTCCAACAATTCATAGCTGAAAGCATCTGACAAAGCAAATTAACTTAAATTGACATGGACTAGGATTTCTTCCCATACTAACTTGGCAACAGCACACATTCCCCCCCCCTTAACCCTTTCAAAGCATGTTACATAACCTTTCCCACTGTTTCTCTGGATGGTCTCCAAAGGTTTTGGCTACAAGAGCGTGAGAATATTAATAGCCTCTCTATTATTATCTGTCCATCTCAACAACTGACATAACTGAAATGAAGAATAAAAGACGTCGCCTACTTTCATTAAAATTAAGCCACTGCAGTTATTGCACTGAAACTGCAACTGACAAAACTTCCATGCTCAACCAAAGTGCCTATAAATTTGATTTGTAAGTGTATACAGCTAACCAGGTAACTAATACATACACGTCAGATACTGCAGAACGCATTAGCTACCAGAAACTATTTATCAGGCTGAAGTCAGTTACAGATGCCTAACTTCCTCCATGTACTCTGAGATTGTAAATGCCTACTCAATCACCATTATTATTTACAGACACGCACAACTCCCATGTATCAGAACTTTGGGATCGTTTAATCCTGACAGCTTTCCTTCTTCCTTCCCTCACTCATCTTCATAGTCTGAACAGACAGCAAAGACCTCATTTTTCACATTTCCTTTGTATTTTGTAGCATCCCTCACAAATTGAACAAAATGTTGTTTTGCCTTTATAGAAATATAAAGTAAAACTGCCTGCTTCCCTGAATAAACAGCTGTAAGACTGTAGTGTAACCTCTTGGATTTCACCACTCATTTCTGTGTTCGAGTGGCAAATTTAGGAAGCCAGATTTAGAGATGTCTAAGGCAAGTCTGAAGGGCTTCTTTAAACTGCCCAACTGGAGGCACAAATACACCATAGGAAGATGCAGCTTTTATGTTAAACTTGAGCACCTGCTTCAGTGATTTTTCTTTTAAATTAAAGTAATGGAAAGTCTAGGATTTACCAGCCTGACCGTATCACCAATGTTACTGAAAGTCTGTTTCCTATTCCTGTTAAAGTTTAAAGATTTGAAAACCTGAGCCACTCTTTTGGCTCTGGCATCATTTTTCCAGAACGAACTCCTTCTTACTACTCAGCTTTTGACAACACTTATACTGATTTATATTGAAGAGCAGAATTCTTTTTTTACACGGTTCCCTCCCTTTTTTCCTATCAACAAGTTAATCTCTAAGGGGGAGGTTTTACCGATGAGCTCATTTAATAGCTCACTGCTACTGAAAGCAGCAGTTCATTCTCTCCTGCTGCCAGCTGGACAGTCCCACCTCTTCTGCACAACAGCTTTAACATTCACCCAGACAGCTCAAGCACCCTAAGCTCATAAAAAAAAAAAAAATCTATCCGGAAAAAAACCCAAGAGTTTATAATCTAATTCTGTTATAGCAAAACAGGCTCACAGAAATAAGACAAGCACCAACAACAGGGCAACTGAAACATACGTCAGAAGTGGAATAAGCAGGAACAGCTCCTCACTGGAAGCAAAGCTGTTGGAATGATTTAGTCTTCCTTGGAATGTTGCCCAAATAACTCAACTTCCCACAGCAAGCATGTTTCCTACCTGCTTCATGTGCCTTCTCAGGCACATGGTGTGACTCCCAGAGCTGGGCCAGGAGTTGGACTTTGATGATCCCTATGGGTCCCTTTCCAACACAGGATATTCTGTGATTCTATGAACAATCCCAAAGGAAACACAACAGTGAAGATGAAGTAGAATAACCAGGAGCTACTTATCTTGATATATGCCCTGCCAACCTTCCAAAATCTTTCATTTTTTAACAAGTCAGGACCTACGAAATGGAGTGTTCCAACTCTTACATTTTCTAGCTGTAGCTCTACCCTCTCCCTTAGCCATTTTGAAGTGGTGTTTTTTTTCCAGGCTGCTCTTTTCCACTTGGAAATCATACAGCAAGGTTTTTTAAGGTTTATGTTTTGATTTGGGTTATTTAAATTGAGATTTAAAAGTGAAAGTGCTTGATGAAACTACATCTCATTCAAATAGCTTTCCATTTTCCAGTTTGTTTCAGCACTTTGAAAAAAAAAGTCCTAACTACTTCACTACCTTCCTGCCTGTAACATTTTAAAATAAAATTTTCATTAGGAAATAAAGATTTTTCATTAGTTTTTCTTAAAATACAAAAATCCTTAAACCCATTACCAAATGTTCACAGGGCACTTCTGTAAACTTTTACAACAGTGCTGGTTGAAAGAAGTGATCTTATGGCAGCAGCTCATTATTTCTACATCTTCCTCCTCAGCAGTGATGCAGGCTGGCAAAGGAAAACAAACCTACCACAAAAGCTGAGCAGAACAGCACTGAATTTGAAAACCAGCATTAAATGCACTGCTAAAAGCCAAACTGTGCTTGTCTTTGTGCCTTTGTAAACATCACAGTGTTTATCTGTCTGTTCATTTGAGAATGGTTTACTAAACAATAAAAAAGATAGTAAGAAGGCAGGTGACAAATTATGAAAATGTCATTTTGATTCCAGCTTCCAGAACCAAAATTAATTTCATGTGGTTTTACTGCATATTCCTTAGTACACAAGAGGGAATATCTCACAACGCGCAGAGTCTGGCAGAATGAAGAAAGTGTAACTGCCCTTCATTTAGCATGGAGACAGCCCTTGTCAAACAAATATAAAATTACCTAAACCCAACGGATCACATATGTAATCCTACTGTTCACCTCAGAGCAAAGTCAGCTATCTCTTCCCCTCACTAAGGAAACTGTCACTTACCTAAAGCAGATTCTAAGTGAACACAAGTTATTCCCTGCCCCAAGTCCAAAGGACTACAACAGTACCCTCATTCTCTTTCCTGTAGAGCCCCCAATTGCAACATAT